ATGAAATATAGGAATGTTAGATGGACACGTGGAGATCCCAATTTCATTTTTCGAGTGTTGAAAATATATCATACGAGGGASCGCAGCGATTTTCAACACGAGAAGATGAAATTCGTATCTCCAAGCGACCATGTAACATTATGTTTATAATATCAATGAAATAAAGTTAGTTAATAATAATCCGTGATTAAAAGCTTTACGGGACAAGACAGTCTTAAGCTGACTCTCAAAAGATGATAATAATGATACTTATGGAAGGAAATGTTACAAAGATAATGTTTTAGCCTTACTTGCTCTGAAGGGCAACTACTTTTGCTTCTCGTTCCTGCACATACTCTTCAAGTCTAGAGAACACAAAAGAATAATAAATTATTGAGTGAAGAAGTGTAATGGGAGAATAAATGAATAAATGAACGATTTAAATTATAATAGAATGGATGAATAATTGATGGCGATGCATTTTGCGATGAGAAACGAAATGATAGCTTGACCCAAAATGCGCGAAACAAAATTCYAGTTGGATCAAAAGCTTACTTTCCTAAGTATACTTGTAAGTGATAGAACGTTCCTTTTCTGAATAAGGAATATGACAATGGGAAATGAGCTTGCCAACGAATAAGCAAAGGAAGCAATTAATTACATTACTGGCCAAGTAAGTTTTGGCAAGAGAGCAACAAGACAAAGTAAATGACCACTTTAGCCCAACAACCAATCAACAGATCAGACATACAATTAATTGAGAGGTAAGCCAGTCACAAACGACGCTGATTTTTGTATTTCAAAGTGATCGTCTTAAAAGTTGAGACATGGACACACTTCAAAGGAAATGCGATGAGACAGTTTACAGAAATGGTCGATCGTAAAGCGTCGTTGAAGAGCGAGTGTAAACAGTACTCCGTCCCGAAAAGTAAAGTCAAGAGCAKATATAGTTCTCACAGGTTAACAGCTCGAAGAGTAAATGGCTTAAAAGTATGTAGACGTAGTCTTAGTGCTTGTCATTTTACATCCGTAACCACCACTCTCCCCTAYAGAGAAAATTATTGGACGAATATTCCCCGTATYGGGGAGGGKTAGAAACTGAAATACACAGGCTATCTTAGTGCACGCTATTGCAAGTTTCACTTGAAACTTGTCCACGTATTAATTTATCAGTGACTTTGACTGTTTACACTTTATAGAAGAGTTGTTCGTATGTTAGTGTCAAACGAATGTTTACATAATATTCCTAACAAATAGGTTAGTATAGACCACTTGCAGCTCTTGGAAAGGTAGCTCCAGCTAGAGGACGAAACAATGGATTCTAATTCCTAAGAGGGCAATTAACAAATCGAAATCGCTTTTCTAAAAAAAGAAAAAGCGATTTCGATTTGGTTTTTTTTTTACCATAACAAAGCCGAAAACAAAGTAAAACTTCCAAAACAAAACCGTTTCTAGCGCCCGCCGGCTTCGTGCGCGAGCGATTCGGCATTTCATCAGTCCGATCTGTCCTAGGATCGACAAYGGTTCTCGACCAATCAGCGCGCGAGAACTCTACAAGTTATGGTAAAAACATCTTTTGTTTTTATCCTCCAGATGAACATTCCACGACATACGCAAGGGGTCTGTAAGAATTAGATTACCAGCCACGACAGAAGTAGTATAGCAAGGTCGCAATAGTCCACAGATCTTCGCGTACGSATACATTTAACAATGTCAGTGAAAGTTTCTTAAAGTGGTCGAAGCGTTTGGGTTGTTTTTTTTTTTTTAATCTTATTCTAACTTACTGCGTTTTTTGATGTTCCAGGTTGTCTATTTTATCTTCTCGTCGCTTAACACTATTCTGACGCTGCACTTTTACAGATTTAAGAAGCTCTAGACTAAAATTACAAACATTTCAACACTTACACATTTTTACATAAACGTACGTTATGACTTGCAGCTTTTTTATTAAGCTTTATTCATGTTAACACGTGCAGTCAGAGTTAGTTTGTTATTCTATTGTTAGAGCTTTATAGTTAGTATTATTATTTAAGCACACTTAATGCATTACATAGGGTTATATTAAGTAGTTATTTTAATTGTTAATAATTAATAGTATCGATCAGCTGTCACTCAAAGTATTGGCATAAGATCTAGGAGATTTGTTATACTATAAGTTGACGTGGTAAGTGCAATCAAGTTGTGGTTTGGTATATTTGGCTGATATCAGATTATTGCTGTTTTGTGCATCAGCAATCAAAGCAAAACGTACACATTTAAATAGAAACAAACGTTAGTACTGTTTTGCAGCCATCTTGAATTATTACCTCAAATGGTTGAATTATTAATATTATTGTCAAAAAATATAAGGACAGTAGCAATAGTCCATCCTTGAAGCAAGAAATACCCCAGTTCTGATTTCACCTATACTCTGTTGCGGCAAAATATTTATAGTTGAAATATTGAAATATTAGAAATGCGAGGTTTCAAATTGATTCTATCTTTTTCTTTTAAGGCAATTCATATCTGTCCGTCTCCATGAGTGTTCAAAAACTAGTATATATATATTATAAAAATCGCAGTTCCGAAAGGGAGTATTCAAGATGGCTGCCCTATTGTGAACCGTTACCACATAAATTTGTAATGTAACTCATCAGTATATATAGTATAGCATCATGACGCTACATTGAGACGTTAAGTGTAAGAAAATACAAACTCCTTAGTTTTTAAACTTAAAAGTATCGCTTTCTCTTTTAAAAAAGTCAATGATCAACTGGCACCATTACGAGCTTTTTTATACGTTTGAAAAATAAAAAAATACATCGTAATGTAAGCAAAATCATACTTTTTTATTATCCCTTTATGCTATATGAACAGAGATACTATACGATTCAACCTTAAAATCCACGGATGGAAACGGATTGTGAATGCATTTTTGAAGTCACCTTAAAAAAAATCTAAAACACGACCGTAGTGAMTGTCGGTTAACCATGGTTCTTCGTAAAAAAAAATCATCATTCAAAAGTTGTATTTTCTTTTGAGCTAATACATAGCATGGAAGTGAAGCGTAATTGTGCTTACCTTGTTTCTAGTTCACGTATTTTCGTGTAACTCGTCTGAGCATTTGAGATTTGCTCTTTTTCCTTCCTTTCTACAGCATCTTCGAGTTCTAAAATTCTGTTCAAACAACAATAGTTCAAAACATTATCATTTGCGAAAGACTGACGGAAGAATTCAGTYGTTCCGCTATCTTTGCGATAGGAACGCCTGCAACTGCAATTTCACCACTTGCTCATAATGCACGAGCATATGGAAACGTWAGGTCAGGAAAGTAGAAACCTTTCACGATTGCGTCTAATATCTTTGCTGCTTGCTACAACGGGTTTGGACATCAATAGTAAACACTTACCTTTTACCAAGAACTTTAATCTTATTATCGCGGTTTTTYAGATGTTGATTTAGTTTATTATTCATACTGACAGCATCTTCAACATCATCCAACCTGAAATAGTTAAGTTAGTTAGGACAGTTTCATGCGTCTTGTTATCGTAGCCAAGAATTTCATTTCGCACATAAACAGTTCGGCGTATGTGGAACCTGTTATGTTCAGCGCGACTGTGGCACGAAATAGCGGACGTAATAGTCTTCTTCACGAAACCTTCTTTAACAATTATTCACAGGTATCTATCATTGCACGCTCAACGGTTGTCTCGCTTCGATGCAAAGGCACGGCTACCTTTCAAAATGGCGCAGTGAACCGTGAAGGAGACTACATGTATTGCATGAGATTGGAGCTATTCTTATGTTTATGACTCAGTTTCAGAGCAATCAAGAACGCAACTATTCGATTCAATTACCAATCGTACAAAATCGTTGGTAGACAATTATGGAAGTGGCGTATAAGTAAGACAAACCTTTCTTGAAGTCGATTAATTTTCTCTTCTTTCTGTGACAGSGATTTCTGTAATTTTTCATTCGTAGTTGTGACCCCATCAAGTTCCTCGAGCCTGCACCAGAAATACAATAATTATTGCCCGTTGAATTTGAATTAGGAACGAGAATTACCATGACATTCTATTACTCACTTATTTTCAAGAGCTTTGATCTTGTCTTCCTTAGATTGGTTCATTTGAGCAAGCTTTTTGGAATCATTCACAGCAGATTCAAGCTCTTCAATCCTGAAAAATTAGTTGTTGCAATTGTTACTGTTGTTTTATAATGACATTATGGACATTATGCAATAACGCCATTTTGTGCAAAGAATCAAGATGGGAGGTTTAGTCCTCGCACTTTTTCATGTCCAAAGATCTGTTTAAGCTTTTTGTTAAWTTTWAATTTGTTTTTGTTATTTCTTTTTGACTATTAACAATCTGTACCTGTTTTCAAGAGCCAATATTTTTTCATCTTTGATCTTAATGATGTGCTTTRACTTGTGAATCTGTGCCTGGCTTTCTTTTAGTCTGTACAAATTAACAAACAATRTTTTATTTTAATCAAAAGTGGTTTTGAAATCAGTAGTAAAATACACGATAAAGACAACGTCGTAAAAATCACTTSTTGTCTTTATCGTTTATTTTACTACTAATATTTTATTTCATAGATTATTAGTGAGACAATAGACTTCTGAAGACTTCTTCTATACGTCATCTACTTGATTTGCAATGCGTTGTGGGATGCGTTTCGTTCAGGAAAAATCTGTCATATTTTCTTTCTACAATTWTATCCTACAATGCACTGCGTATACTGTGTATGACGTAAAAGCTTYGGAGGTCTATAGTCAATCGTGGATGCAAGTCAACATGTTTTTCGTTGGTGGAAACTTGCGGTAAACTAGTGTGAGCTGCGTCAGTGTTTCTAAAGAAACATTTGTGAAAAAAAAATAACTTTTCACACCGTAAAAATTAGTAGAAAAATTACTGACCTTTCGGACGTTAATCCTTTGTTTTTTACTCCGACGAAGGATTAACGTCCGAAACGTCAGTAAGTTTTCACCTACTTTTTACGGTGTTAAAATTTATCTTGTTGCACAAACATTAAGTTWACCTACCCATTTTCTAGTTCAGCTATCTGTTCTTCCTTATCTTGCAAATTATTATTCAAAGCAGACAGCTTGTAGTCTTTGTTGTTCAAGTTCTGCTGAAGACTTTGTGATAACTCAACATAACTCTCAATCTCCATAAACCTACAATCATAACGGTATGGTGTTATTCACATGAGGATTATTGGCTGATGTACTTCAAGCCCTGGCAACACAATAAGTAACTCGGTGCCCTACTCTAAGTTGAACAACSGTAAATTCTCGGCTGCAATTTATTATCAAACAATAGCCGCTAGTTTGACATGGCAGAATTTATTTCTACCAGTTGATCTTAATATTGTATAAAACTTTACATAATAAATTACAAACAGTGATCTTACCTGGACTCAAATTCTTTAACCTTGTTGCTTTTTTGTGTCAAATTGTGCTGCAGTCTTAAGTTTTCATCCTTGAAATCTTCAAGACTATCAAAGCAAATATTACAATATTCAGTCATATATGAAAAGGCGAAAAAAGGACATAAACGGATCAAAATTACTCTGATCAAAACGTTAAATACCTGCTTTCTAAATCAATGATTTGCTTCATCTTTTGTTCTAGGTTCTGTGTAAGTCGATTCTTTTCAGAGGTTAAACTCTCGATTTCCTCAACCCTACATAGAACAAAATAGATATCAAATTTTAATATTCAATAAATAATAAATTAAAATGTAGGAGCAACATAATAGCCCTTTTCGCRGTTAAAACCAAAGCGATACAAAMTCGGGCAAAATGTTTGCTGCAACAAATTACTTTCGTAACATTGCAAAAAGATAAACAAGCCCAAAAGGGACTATCTTTTGCTTGTTTGTTTGCGCAGATTTTAACAAAAAACATATCCATTAAACATACTKACCGTAATTCAAGATCAGTCATCCTGCTTTCCTTCAGTTTGATATTATGTTGTAATTTGTTGTTCAAGGAGGTTAAGTCTTCAACCCTATCAAACATAACAAGAAGAGTTAACCACACTTTTTTTATGGTACCTATTTATCATAATACAATAGTGTCAGAGTGGAGGATGTTCGAAATCAAAAGTACCTCTGGAGTTATGAAGGTCAATATCTGTTAGTAAACCTACAATGGCGGACATGATGTGCTGTCGCATGTGCAAAAGATCGAGTATGTGTTCTTTATAAGATTGTATATCTTTAAACATTAATAGCCATTGCTTCCCTTTTTCCCGATACAATGTTGTTAGTCCTCAATGTAAAAGGCACACGTCAACGCCAAATAAGATCTAAGCAATAGTAAATCGGGGGGGGGGGGGGGGGGGGGGAGGGCAAAGACATGGGACAAGAGAGTACTCTAAATACGCAATTTCGGCTCATATAACAATTTTGTCCCCGATTGGTTGCTTCGTTTCTGAAACTAGACAAAAGAAATGTCTCTAGCATGCAACTGCTTGCTGAAGACCGTTGTAAGTGAAATATTATATGCAGTCAGGCCGTCCAAGTAGGTGAGAAAAAGCTAAGAGCCAACGGCCAACACAAATACAGCAAAGTGTGGATCGCAGCTGTTTCTCTTCCTCGAGCACTGGATTTTAGCCTTAAAAAGAGAATGCTCTCAATTGCGCCTGACAGTAAGTCTTGGACAAAAGTCTGAGTTTCTCATTACTATTAATGGAGGATACGCACTTGTTTTCTAGTTCCACAATTTTGTTATCCCTGACTTCAACTGTGCGTTTCATCTCTGTAACTCTGTCATCTTTGACCACAAACGAACTGGTTTCAATTTCAGTCAAACTGAAACAACAAATAAAAGYAGGTTAACATGATTCATTCTTCACATCATATTTTGAAGCMAYCATTATTTCTATTTAATAAAGCTTWATTTTGTTGCATTCTGTATATTCGTMCATATGTCAGCTCTCCCACGATAGAACACTACTRTCACTTCCAATTTTTGCTCCARCAAATCTAAAAAGTCAGATCTTATCACTCAAAATTGATCARATTGTGCAAATGAAGTCATGTTTAGTTAGGTTTTGAGCAATATGTCTGAAAAGAGGTTTGGAGTGTTGATTAACTGCATTTAAACACAGAAATAATGTAGTCTGACTTGAAATTCGCATTTTATCTATTACAATTTCAGTAAATTTGTAAAACTACAGTGTCGTTTCCGTCACTCGCTTGATATGACCACTCCATCATGACGTTCAGATGTTTATATCCCGGCCAATTTAACCCTCATACTTTTCTGGCCGGTTAAACCATGCACTCCATTAATACGGCCACTTTTCGATGTCCCTTCGGTGGCCGGTCTAACGAAGTTCCTTCGTACACATATTTACAAAAGTATCGATGTAAATRATATGTCAACATGGACTATTACCTTGATTCAAGTGCTTCAATCTTCTTATCTTTGAGTTTAATAGTATGACCTAGTTTGTTGATYTCACTACTTGCATCTTCAAGTCTTGAAAAAAGAAGACACGTTAAGGACAATGATTACCCGGCATTCAATGCAGTCGTGTTTTAGATTTTTCATAAATGGAAAATGAGGTGACTTCGAATATGCATTCGCAATCCGTTTCCATTCGTCGGTTTTAGTTTCGAATCTGACAATATATCCATTCATCTAAAAGACGCCTGCATTGATAACAAAGAGTAAGGTTTGCATATATTTTGCATCATTTGCTCTCAGTATTTTTTTTATTTTTTATTTCCTTAAAAAATGACATCTGTTGTTAAATGTTGCTTTCTGACATTCAAAAACTAAAATCTCAATAAAAAAAACGCCAAAAAATAAAGTATTAGTATCAATGACATTTTTCTTGTTATACTGCTTACTTCTTTACAAGTTTTACTGTTATTTAAATCTTCTTATTGTAAAGCGCTATATAAATACCACATTATTGTAAATCAAGCGATTTTCCATCAGTGAGAAAAGCGCGCAAAAAAGTTCTGAGATCCAAGTGTGACACGGTAATTGACCGTTCCGAAATTCAAAAGGAGACTGGGAACGAGTAAAAAAATAGTCCACTTATCGAAAGACCACACTACAATTAGTGTTCTTGTCAAGTTTGAGACTATTTTGTTGAATACTCACTGAGAAGGATTTTTTTCAAATTTGCAAAAATAAGCGAGAATGTATGGTTTTTGGGGACGCTGATCAAGTGCTCCATACATTCTTTGTAAATTTTTTCGAGATTTTTTCCATTGCTTCAAAAGGTATCGAGTTTGTGACTAGTCACCAGTTTCTTTTTGAATTTCGGAATGGGCATTTGACTTGTTGCAGAGATAATTCTTTATTATTATTATTTTTTCAATATTTAAATCTTGAGTGATAAGAGATAAGTAAAATACCTGCTTTCAATGTCTCGTACTAGGTCTTCTTTCTCATTGAAGCTTTTAACAAGGTTATTGATTTTGTCATCTTTTTGTTTGATGGATTCCTTCATCTTATCGACCTCGCTAACTGACTCCATAAGTTCTTCAATTCTGAAGACAWGCAATATTTGACATGAGTGGMAAAGTACAAGYAACYACTTACGTTCAAAGTTTCAAGAGCTGTGATTGGTTGCSGAGCGGTGAATATCAYCCATGTCMCTGKGAGGTTCATATAAGATTTGCAAAGGAGGATTGCTGTTGAATGTCATTTTGAGTCGCTAAAAAATGTCTCATAATTGAAATTACCACTTAAAAATGTTAGTTAACAGTTTGTAAGTGTCAAGTGTAATTATATAATAACTGATTATGGATTACCGTCTCTCAAAATGTCTGTTTTGYTTATCTTTTTCTCGAATGTTCTGACTGAACGTTTCTGAGTTCTCATCAGCTGTCTTCAGTAAATCCTCAACCCTTAAAACGAATTCATAAAATGTATTGATTACTAAAGGCCAACGTCTRAAAACATATTTTTTTGCCATAGGACTTTTCTGAGAAAGTACTTTGCATGGCATCGAGATTCGGGTCTTTTCCGGGTTTTCCTCCCTCAGTAAAAACGAACCATTTCTATCTGCTGTGCTTCGCGGTCAGTCGACGTTGCTATATAAAGGAAGCGCCTAGCAGGCAGCACGCCTATCTGTAAGTGTATGTCTAATGTGTCTGTAATATAGCCCTTCGACTTGAGAGCAAGTCGAGCAGCGTCTTTCGCAATTCAACACCAGTACTGCCATGAAGGACGCTTAGCACCCACACATTTTTTTCCTTTTACAAACATCTTTTGTTCATGCTGCCAAATATGTGTTGTTGTTTTTTTTTGTACTGAATCTAGACCACAATGCACCATGATTTTGAAACCATGAAATAAAACAACTYAGAGACAACTACTTTAATCTTTCATAATATTAAATATAATTACCATAATCRATTACCTTTTTTGCAAGGAGACAATCTTTTGGTCTTTTCCATTCAAAGTGTCTTTATAACGCTCACATTCATCAATCGCAGCTTGAAGTCTAAACAACAGCGATATATTACTAAGATACACCCGCACACGTGCAGATGTTGTCCCAAGATCAGACAGCTATAATTATCGAAACTATTAAAAACGTTTTTTTTTCCTCCTGGAGAAGCTTGTCTGAAAAGAGAATTAAAATATTATTTCTCTGATGAGAAATTGTTTAGTTTTAAAGACGCGCGTGCACCTGAGAATCTATTGATCGTTTTCAACCATTTCCATGAGATTCAAAAAATAAAAGATCGAAGTCCATGTTGGAGGAATGAACAATGGATATTTTAAAATGAGAAATCCTAGCCTCCGTAGCAGACGTTCCAAGCGGTTCGATTCTCCTTGGAACGTCTGCTACGGAGGCTRGAGAAATCCTTTGTTGAAGTTACTCCAASATGGCCGCTGTSACGTAATAGGGAAAACGAAGAATGTGCGATTTTCTCACATACAAAAATWCTTCATCGTTCAACCAGATWCAAATTGTGATATTGAAAGGGTTCTCGGGTGAAAGTTTTTAGGTATTCCCATGAAAAGTGTACATTTTCTTACATACCATTCCATCTGCAWTCCTCTTCACTRATCTTTTCAATAAAAATGAATACTTACTTGTTTTTCAAATCATGAAGCTCCTTGTCCTTCTTTTTCAAGGTATCATCACCTCGCATCTTAGTACTCTGGATTTCTTCAAACCTGATACATGACAAAGCAAATGAAATGGGTACAACGACAGACCTATACAATCCTGGACAATTGCCCTATTTCATTATGACGTCACAGTATGTTCACATCGGAGAACGATGCTCAAAAAAGTGGAAATTTGGACCCATTTATATTGCCTACTAAAGTAGAACTTCAATGAATCGTGTTTTGATATATGTCATGTATAAATGATTGTTCATGTACATTTTATTTGATACGCCGTAACTCTGATCCCTTCTGGCGACCATAATCCTTAGCGTTAAAACAATAGAATGTTTTGATGTGACGTCTTAATGAACTAGGGAAGCCGTCTACAGCTGTTTTGGTAAGGTACTGCTAATGTTTACATTGATGTGACGTCTTAATGAACTAGGCCAATTTACTTGTGACATAAAAATACGCAATTACAAGTCAATTATAACTTTGAAAAGCACTATTGCTGCCATTTTCATCTTATGTTCATTGCCGAGTATGATAGCATCACGAAAAACAACATTGTAGGCAGGGAGGGAGGGGAGGGGAGATGAGGGAGGGAGTTTAAGTCGCTCGTTGATTTTGCACTGGTAAAGCATCAAAACTTTGTGTTTTGTCTATGATTGTACGATTTGTGTGCAGGCCATGAAGCAAACAAATATCTATTTGTTTTGGGTAAACAGTTTCAAATCTAGCCTAAAGACATTTTTATTTAGACGTCATTTTTATACTAATTGATACTAATTAATATTTATTTATGTTTATTGTTAACGCAATGAGATTTTATAATTGCGTCCTAAAAACTTTTATTATTATTTACTTTATTAAGCATAATTGTCAGTTGCTACATGTGACTAAACTATGACAAAACAGTATTAGATACGTACATGCAGTCTAAGGCAGAAAATTGCAGAAAATACCTTATTCAATAGTACATGTAAATAATTCAAATACCTTTGAGTATGTTCTATAATCTCATTTTCTTTTCCCTTTAACGTTTCTTCGTATTTCTTCTGTTTCATAGCTTCCTCTTCAATCCTGTGTCAAGAAAAACTGGCCTTAAAATGGTTTAGTTTGGTACAGGAAGTTTATGCGCGATCATTGTTATTTCACTCCCGCCAATTTTTAACCAGAAGGATAAACATTTATTAGAAGCAATTCATGACTGATAATTGTGCTCCGTGTTAGTTTGCCAGCAAGCATGAAAAAAAAAAAAAAAAATGAAATGAGAAAAAATGGAATGTCTTAAAGCTCTAACTATCTTTAATCATTTTTGACTGCTTGATCCGCTATTCAAATGTGGTTCTTGTTTAATTTGGAACAACTTAACTTAAAAGCAGAAATCATCKCGACTTTCAAGTTTCMAAGTTTATTTATATTTTCCTAATGCTCGAGAACTCAGATGTAATCGGCGTAAAATTACACCTTTGTTCCAGACAATGGATTTTGTTCTCTTTATAATACATGTATTACGAAAAACCAAGCAACTTCAGGGTCACAAAGCAATGGTCGCTACTGTCATAAATGATGATTACTCTCTGGCCATTCCACTTGAAAAATGTGCAAGTACGCAAGCTCGAATGGTTGAATGGGATTGATGGAAGTCTTGAAAGGGGTGAAGTTTAGATGGGGATTATAAGAAATGACCTGTTATCCTTCACGAGTTTGTAAGGTCGATTGTGATTACAGGAATAAAACAATGTTGATTGCTTCTTTGTTCCTGAATCCTATTGTTTTCTTTTATCATAGTTAAGTAACAATGCGCGTAAGAACTAGGGAGCTCTCTATTGTTGTGCGGCATAGCAAGTTCCCCATGTACGAATGTCTTGGTTTTCACACTGATTATGTMTCCATTTGTGGGTAACACATTTTTGAAATAAAATGTGGATAAACTCTATTTTGAAACAAAGTTTCTTTTGTATTAAAAGCTCTTATCCAATCATAAGCACTCAAAACAATAGCTAAAAGATGCTTCYAATTTGCAATGTTCCCCACGTAGAATTGCCTTAATATTGAAGCTAAAGAAAGCTTTCATGAAAGCGAAAAACGACATTAAATATAATATTAGAAAATTCGCTAACTTGTGAAATTATAGCAGATTTTCATGTTTTACCAATGGGATGGATGGATTATACAATGCGCAATTAGCACCTTCTTGCATTCCTGTGCCGTTTGCTTCCCTAGTTCTTACTCGGGGCATTACTTAATGCTTTTATTTACCAAATAGATATTGAAGGGCTACCCGAATTGACAGCTCCAATCATGAAACAATTGAAGTTGACTTGCGCACAAAGTTGCATGAAACCATYATAAATATTAAACACGCAAATATGAATCCAATTTAAAAGCTTTAATTCAATTAAAATTTATATTTAGTATTTATTCTATTTCAATCGGCTAATACTTTGCTACGTCAAGTACGCGATACAATCTTTTTCAGTCCAAGTCTTCAATCATAAAATCAACGAATAAATAGTCAGTGATGATTGTCCATCTCTGCTGATCTCCTAACTGCTGGTTAATGTTGTGATCCGTGTTCAAATGACACACGCGTTTTGACACTTAAAGCAACTTTCGTATGAATCAGACACGGACTGTACCATGTAGGACAATCATACCGTGGTAGAAATTCTTAGTCTTGATAAAGCAGAAAAAAAAATACTTTTTTCAAATTACTTGCATTCAGTTATGATAACGTTTTGCGATGAATTGTCTATTGTTCATCCATGAGTTTAGAAGTAGTTTCAAAAAGTTATGATAAAGTTACTGATAAAGGCTTCTTTGGCCTTTTCATTTGACTTTGTCCTTACAATGCTGCAGTGTTTAGTGCTTTAATGAAGTACTTGCATTCATTTTTGAAGTAATATCTCATGAGCTGACCACTTATAGAATACACACACGTTACATAAATACAATGGACTTATCTCAATAAAAATCGCATGCACAAAGTTTTTCGTTTTGTTTTTGGCAAATAAAATAAAATAGAATAGTTAATACACGTTATAAACGACAATAAAAATAAAAAAAGTAAAAAAATATTTAAGAAATAAACGTCTGTATTATAGCTATCAATGGTAAACTAATTTTAGTAAATAAGTCGTTTCTTCTTTACTCGCAACTCTCTGAAAATAAATTTTAAGTTAATAATATATTTTAAGAAAATAATTACGACTTTTAGAATATCACTCTAACTAAACTTGACTTTTTCTTCCTCTACCCATGCCAACATATGATCTTTGAGAGTTAGAACGAGAAGGTCTTTGGCGTCTTCCTGAGCCACCAAATTTGTCTCTACTTCTAAATGGTTCATGAGGGCTGTCTTCTCTTTGAATAACCAGACTATTGTTGTCAAATGATTCATGCTTGTTGTGAGGCTTATTTGAACGCTTTACAAGTTTATGTTGCGCTTTCTCTTGCAGCTTCTCCTTGTCTTTTTTGGCAATTTCATTACCAAGTTGTAAAATCTTCAATGCAAGATCTTCTCCGTATTTTTCSTTAATATTCTTTTCCATACAGGTAATGTTTCTCCATGTTGTCTGCAGTGCTTGSTCATGGTGAGCTATCAGTAAATCTAACAGCATTTCAGAAGCACTTCGTARTATAACTTCCCACTTKGCCTTAAATTTCTCCGTCATGTCACTAACATATGGGGTGGCATTCAGTCTCAAACCTTCGGGAATCATTCCTCTTTCTCGGTATAGTTTTAGATTCTGTTGATGGCACTCGTGCTTATAGTATTTGGTCTTTTCTTTTTTTAATTCTCTGAAGTCTGGCTCAGCGTTCAGTGGGATGCGGTTTGAAGAGTCGCTGATGTCTTGGCCAGGAAATGGTGATTTGTCTGCACCTTCTTGTTGGATGGACAGAGATCTGTGGGAATGAGGAAGGGTCCAGTTGATTTGTGATGACGCTGTTTTGCAACACCATTAAGTAGAGTCGAGACTGCAGCTATGAGTCTTATTAAGACGAACTTCCTGATAAGATTACTATTTTTGGGAGGCTGGATTCATTTCAAAGACGAATTACAAAGAAATTTCAGTATAATGTTGAATATCTTTTGAAAAAGATGCGGAATTATTATTTGACATCTTCAATTTAACTGACAAAATGAGCCAGGCAGCTTGACGGGAAGCCGTCGACAGCTGTTTTGGTAAGTACTGCTAATGTTTACATTGCATCTAGTGATCCGGCAAGATCATGGCATAAAGCAGAAGATACGAAATGCGGAATAAYGTGGCAAAATCTGGAAAATCATTGGCGTGACCGAAACTTTGTATAAGCAAAAGATTTGTCCTGATTTGCATACGACTTGAATTTGAACTTGAATTTTCTCTTAAAAAATATGTTATCTTGGAGTTTTTAGCAAATTAAGCTTTAGATTATGTTGGAATTTTATTAGCAATAAAAAATATTCGCGACCGACCTTTATGGACTTTCTCGCCTGTGCTATATTTCTGTCAACATGTCAAAGATAGAAAGTGCAAAGGACAATCGTCCAAATATTTTGTGAACTCATTATATAATAACAATTGCTATCTTCAGGCAGTTTTATCAAGATTCTTAAACTTCGCAGTCTGGTTGTACAGCTCACTGTTATATATTAACAGACTGGGCTTGTYTATCAGTGCTTTGAAAAAGTGACCATGCAAGAAGACACAGTTGCAGAAACGACACTACTGTTATGAATGTGCAATACATAACAACACTTCTTGCATTATTACAAAAACTTCAAATGAATTGGATCATAATATAATGAATGATTCACTATTAATATTAAAGTGAGGTGTACAGTGTAGAAATAGTGGTGAAATTATAAGAATTTGTCAAAGTATTAAATAGTAGCCTCCTACACGTTTACCTACGAAATCTTGAAAGGAAGCCGTGCCTTTGCATCGAAGGAAGACAACCGTTTGTCGAGCAATGATAGAAACCTTCTTTTACACTGATTATTCACAGGTTTCTATCATTACACGCTCAACAGTCGTCTCACTACGATGAAAAGGCATGGCTACCTTTCAAGATGGCGCAGGAAAACGCGAAGGAGAYTTTTGATGAAAACAGTATTCCGAAAAACTGGCTTTTGATTACTGGTATCATGACCTGGGAACCCTGGCCTTTTTTAAATGTCAGTTTACACAATGCATCTTGCCTATGCGTCATTCCCATGATATGCCATTGGATATTCAACTTATGACCTCAAAACCGGGAGATAAGTTTCATTGTGTATTTTGTGTAGTTGCAGAAAACGCCACCAGCACGACTTTGTTAAGTGTCATGGAACAAGCTGCATTGTGTAAACTGGACTTWATAAAGTATCCTTGGGTGCGGTAGTAGTCTGTCAACCTCTCCTCCTGGAGTTGCCGCAAACATTAAACCCATTACTACATCAAACCTATTCCTACTGCAACCAAATATACTGTATTGCAACCAGTTCGATTCGCCGATATTGTGCGCTCAAGGTCAGATTGCTATACACTTAGTATCTCTTCGAATTATATRAAAGGAAAAAACATCTAACCTGTTTTCAAGTTCAGCAATTTCTTTCTTTTGTTTTCGGATAATGGTGTCTGCTTTAGATTGATCCTCAACTGACTCGTTCAACCTGATAACATAATACAATATACAATAATTATCGCTATTATAGAAATCTTTTATAATATAATTATCGATGAAATACCTATATTTATTACATGAATAAACTTAACAGTATTTTCCTTTTCATTTTCTTCTGAAGACTTAACCAAATCGTCGTGAGAAAACTCTACGAAAATCCGAGAAGCCATTTTCTTTTAGCGACCAATCGACAACAGAAAAGGGCGGRAAATTTTGCATTTTATTGGACGCGTGCGTACATCCGGGACATTTGGGTGCATACCTTTATTAATGTTCACTAGCGAAAATGTGGTAAATACGGACATGTATATAACTTAGAATATGATTCTTTTAAAGTATCATATTCTAAGTTATACTAAAATAATTTACCGTGACTGGAGGCYCTTTATTTCCCTGTCTTTATCATGCAATGAGTCTGATAGTTCTTCTATTGTTCTTTGTTTGTCGGTGATGACCAAATCTTTGTCTCTGTTTTTATTGTCAAGAGCCACTAATTGCATTTCATTCTTCACAACTCTTTCCTTTAAAGATGTCATACTCAAATCTTTTCCTTCAGCGTCTTTTAGTTTCTCTTGAAGCTCACTCACATGACTGGAATGCAAAAGAAAGTTGGTTGAATTAGCACTGAATAGGAGTGAGGCTAAAAAACCCGTGAAACAAAATCTGACTATTAAAGTGTGACAGTCAAATAGATACAAATAAGAAAGCGACAATAACAATTTCATTTTTTCTTAATTTTCTAAAATCCATTACTGCTCTACTTAGCACTATTTGGTAAGTACTTTGTCAGTTTTTTTATTATTATTTTTTTTTTTTTGCGTTTGCACTCTATTCACCAACGAAATTAGGACTAAAATATGAGACAATTTTCCTAGTAAAATTTACAGATTTGGCAAAAGAATTGCCTCTTTTAAGAGATAATCTTACACAGTCGAAATAAGTTTAATTTGACACATGAAGTGCCGTGCAATACAACATCTTTGACTTGGWMGAGTATGGCTACTGCGAGGGSAAATCTTTCTCTACAGCGTTTTCTCGCTTTCTATTTTTACACTTGGGAAAAAATAYGCCAACTTTGTCCCTTTGATTGGATTAGGATTGGTCATACCTGTAATTTTCATTCTCAAGATTTGCTATTGCTTCATCTTTGAGTTTAAGTTCACCAGACAAATTCAGCACTTCGTTGGAGGATGAATGGAGATCGTTTTGYAGTGCATGTAGGGCTTTTGAAAACTTCTCCGCCTCCTCAGTCTTTTGCTTGTTTAATGTTTTTGCCTTGGCAAGCTCCTACAACATCAGAATAGAAACTTGTAAGAAGGAAATGAGATGAAATTTTCGATTTAGTCATTAATAGCAGTTATAACTCTTTCTAGTTTAAGCGCAGAACGTAAACAAAAAAATACCATCAAAATACTCTACATTACGAAATCCATTATACATAACCCACAAATAGATTCATCATAAATTACAGTTATCTTATACTACATTCAACAAAATAATACTTTTTCATTGGTCGAGAGCAGTACAATTACAGCGTACTCCTTATAAAATTTGGTTTCACTGAATGTACTATATACAAAAAAATCGCACAACCTCTCGTCCAATTTGGAATTAATAGTCACGACTAATGTTTGAAAGTTTTCAAATTACGAAGAACTTTCATTACTCGTGACTATTAATTCCAAATTAAACTCAAGGTCGTGCGATTTCTTATACTAATTACAATGACAGAACAAGCAATCAAAAAACACATGCTGAGTGGTACTATAAGCTATCTTATACCCTAGCTAGCTGCATCAGTCAGAAACTGACTGACAATGATGTAATTATTTAGTTATTGCATTTTATACCTCTTTCAATTTGTGAACAGTCGACTTTTCTTCTAAAAACTTCTGATGAACAGCTCTATTTTCGCGCTCAAGCTCAATTAGCTTCGTACTTGAACTACGTAGATCTTCNAGTGACTTTTTAAGGTGTTCGTTTTGATGAGAAAGTCTCAATACATCTATGGAACTGCAACAGATAGTAAACACTGGTTAATAGACTTCTTCGCGGAACCCTGCATCTGTATTTCGAAATGCAACGGTGCCTATACATCAAAGCTATGCGATTGGCGAGAGTGCTATAATAAACACATGTGATCGATAGACTTCTGAAGCTTTTACGTCACCTACATAATTTGCAATGCGTTATGGGATCAGTTTCTGGAGAAAACCAAGGAAATCCGCCAGACATGTTTTGTCACAAAACATATCCTATACAACGCATTGCTTTTACGCTATATGATGTAAAAGCTTCAGAGGTCTATTGTCAAGTATGGGTGCAAACAAATGTTTTTATCACTAGAAGTATATGTCTTATAGACATCGTTTTCGGTAATGCACTCTTCTTGCGTTCTTAAAGTTTGGACACTCTCGCTTGCACCACTCAGATTAATCGTTGAGTAGCCAGTCGTATTGGAGATTTCAATTCAATATTGTAATAACCATGAGAACACTATTATTTGATTGGTTAGTTGCCCTTTTCGCAGCTAAAAAACAAGTTGCGTGGGGGGCATATGTTTTTGCACCAAAGCGAGGCAGAATCGTGCAGCAACCAAAACATATTAATCCTCTTTGTTTGTCTTTTTTTTTATTTACGATGAGAATTTTTGTTGATAAAAACGTCATGATTTTGACATGACTTGAAACTCTTGTTCATCTGAGGGCTACGGCAAAACACGTTGACCACTTCGGTTGGAAGTAAACCGCGTGCAAAAGTATAATCATTATCGTGTTGCATCTCAGGTTTTAGCTCACTCCTGGCCTATTTTATCTTTGTTGTACCGAAAAGAGTGCCCTTTTAGTGTCTTAGTAGAAGAAATAACATTATTACCTTGATTCCTGGCATTCACTRGCAAGATTTACAGATCCTAATAAGAAAAAAAAAAAACACAATTACTTGATTTGTCTCAAATTCATCACAGTCAAATATGAAAACAGAGAAATTAAGATTCGCTTGCAATCTTACCTGATGGACTTTTGCCTCTCAAGACCTCAATCTCAGCAGTTAAAGATGCTAATTCTGCCATACTAAAAACAACACATAAAATATGAGCATCATATTGCAATCATTTCTTTTGTTTATAAAAATGATTTGTMGTTGAAATTTGCTTTCTGATTGGYTGGAAATCAAAGATRGCGATTTTTTTATCAATTTGTGAGAAAATMGCGCAAAGTTTCTTKGATGTSCGTAGGYCGTGTCCTTARAATATCACACCGGTTAATAGYCAATAGGGAGMTGAGTCAAATGTATYGCTTTRAARKTTTACCTTTCTTGTTTTTCTATATTTAACCGTGCATTGGTTGCCATGACTTCATTAAGTTTCTCTTGTTCAAATTGTCTCTCCTGAAACCAATGASCTGGTCAGACTAAAGTTGCAATGCTACGGAGTGTCAACACTATAAAATTCCTACTATTAACAAGATAGTGCTGAATTCA